GCCCGCACCGATTTTGTAATAAAACGTGGTGGAAACTCGAGGCGTGAGTGAGTGCGGGGCAGGGAATACGAGCTTACCGGGAACAGGCAATGAACTCGCCAGGAATAGGGGCCGGGCTCACCATGGCTGGAGGTCAGGTTGAGCACAGGTGGGTGGGCTGCACCAAGCACTGGGCACACCACATGTCCCTGGGCGAGGGGGACATCCCGAGGTCCCCCTGGGGGAAGGAACCCCCAGCCCTTGAGGCAAGGAGCTGTGGGTGCAGTGGGAAGGGCACAGAGTGATGGGCGCAGTGGGTGCCTCACCACCAGCAAAGCGATGCTGCACCCCTCAAATACAGGCAGCTGTGGATGCAAGTTGGGGCAACCAGAGCTCTGCAGGTGGCAACCTCCTGCAGCCACTGCCACAGTACAGGATGGCTCATGGGCTGGCAAGACCCACACAGGCTCTTTGCGGGGTAATGGGGTGGAGGAACACTGTGACAGGGCACGTTTTAGACTCCTGATCAAGAGGAGGACATGGATGAAGCTTTCCTGAGACAGCTGGGGAGGTTTGACTGCCTCGTGGGTGGCCCTGCTCCTCACAGTGGCCTTTAAACTGCTCTCGTTGAAGATGTACCTGCTCATGGCAGGGGGATGTTGGACTAGATCACCTTTAGAGGTCCCTTCAGCCCAAACCATCCTGTGATTTGATGATTCTGGGATGACCTCCCTGCTACCTGAAGAAGGGCAGCACAGCAGGGCTTGATCATTGAAGGAGGTTTCTGGAGGGTGCATAGGAAGAACAGCTTGTGGATGTGATGGTGGCAGCCATGAGGCAGTGGAGATCAGCACCCAGGGCAGGCAGGAACACAGGCAGCAGGGTGCAGCCTTGGGCTTCAAGTGAGACTATTTATGTGACGTGGTTGGTGGGGTCTGGACAGAGGCAGCTCTGAAGGATGAAGGAGCTAAGGAAATCCGTGAGGCCTTTGAGGACAAGCTAAAGAGTGGTCATGGGGTGCCAGGGTGGCTGGGGCTGGAAGAGGCCTAGGGAATCTCCCACTCCAACCCCCTGCCTAGGGCAGGGGCAGCCAGAGCTGGTTGCTCAAGGTCAGGTCCAACCAGGCTATGAAAGAGGAAATTCCATCTGCATCTGAAAAATGTGGAAATGGAAAGGGGGTACTGGCAAGAAAGACCGTACTGGAGCAGGCTCCCCAGAGCATCTCCCTCCTTGAAGATACTCAAAACTGACCTGGACATGAACCTGGACAATGCATGCCAGCTGACCCAGCCTGAGCACAGGCTGGGGCTGGAGCAGCTCCAGAGGTCCTTTGCCCCCCAGTGAGGCCATGGGCAGCTTCACAGCTTCTCTGAGCAGCTCGTGCCAGGCAACCTGTTTGATCAACCTCATGGCAAAAAAAGAGGTGGTTTTTTTTGAGAGAGAAACACCCAAACAAAAAGCTTTTGAAAAAATTTTTGGTGGAATCCCCTGTGGTCCAGTGTGTGCTCATTGCCCATGGTAGTGTCACTGGGCACCACCGGGAAGGGTCTAACTCCATCTTCCCTCCTTCCCATCACTATACACATGGATTCCATTCCCCCTGAGCTTTCTCTGCTGCAGGTGGAGAGGCCCCAGCTCCTCATGCAACAGATGCCCCAGCCCCTTCAGCATCGCTCTGCCACTTCCCTGGATTTCAGAGGTCACATCTTCTGGGTCAGGGGGGTGCAAGGTCAAGAGGAGCATCCACACACCCTCCACCTCCAGAGTTGCCCAAGAACCAGGCTGGGGATAGGGATGGCAAAAACAGGTGGCAAATACATGGAGACAGGACTCAAGGAAGAAAACTACCCAGAGTACAGGAGAACCAGGCTGGGGCTCTCCTGAGACACCCTAAACCCCAGGGGTGGCACCCAGGGGTGCCCAGGACCTGCTGAGGTCCTTGTGAGCCCCTTTCTGTCATCTCTGGAAGGTGATGGGGACATTCCTGAGAGGTGGAGAAAGGAAAATGTCACATCCCCAAAGGGCCCCAGTGATGGAGAGGCCATCCAGCCTCACCCCAGTCTCCAGGGACCATGTGAGCCCTCCTGGGGTACATCTCTGTTGTGTGCAGGAACAGACAGTGGCCAGGAGCAGCCAGACTAGTCCACAGGTTTGACCACTCAGCCACAAGCTACATGCTTGGAGATGCAGTAGAATGTAGACATCCCATAGCCCATCCGTGGCCAGGGTTGAGCCCATGTGCCCATCCTGGGACAGGGGTCTGGCGGGTGGGCAAGCAGCTCAGGGCTGCTTGCTCAGGGCCATTGAGTGCCACAGGGCACCATGTTGGGTTCCTTTGCTCAGGTTTGCAGGTAACACTGCTTGAGGGCAGAGCTGGGACTGAGCCAGGCTCAAGGAAGGGGCCAGCAGGGACCTCACAAGGACAATGGTGAAGTCCTGCCCTGGGCAGGCAGAGCCCCCAGCAGCCCTGCAGCTGCAATCCACAGCAGGAGCACGTTCAGCATGCACCATGAGGAGGGAGCTGTGCTGGGACATGGCCTGTGGGTTTGTGTGGTACCATGGCCTGTGGTGGGTTCAGCTCCAGCGCTGGTCCCTCTTGCCCACCTCCCTACCCAAGCAGGGTCCACACTGGGCATGGCTGGAGCTACTCTGGATGCCCCAGCCCCTTTTTAAGGATTGCTCTGCTCTTGAGAGAAGTTTTTCCTGGTATCTGATGAGAATTTCTTCTGCCCATCTTGTGTCACCATCTCCTGTGCTGTGCCTGTGCCTGATGGCGTCTGGCTCCAGCTTCCTGCACCCAGGAGGCAGCTCAGGGGTTTCTTCTCCCATGGCTGCACAATCAGCTCCTGCCCTGCTGTGTCCCCAGCCCAGCTGGGTGTCTCTCCCTGTTTGCTCCCATGGATCCAGACCAGGACAGAAACCTGCTGGCAGCAGGGGGAGGGTCCTGCTGGCACAACCCAGACACCGGGGTCTCCTTTGCTGCCAGGACAACCCCAAGCTCCCCAGCTTCCGTCCCAGCCCTGAGTGTGCCAACATTTCACTTCCCTTGCTCCCAGAGGCCCATCCTTGCCCATCTTCCAGTATCCTCCAGTGGCCCCTTGGCTTGCTGGGTACTGGGGTCACAGCTGTCAGGCCTTGCAGCCCCCCACCAGGGGCAGGGGGGTGGCAGCAGGGGACACCCCCGTGGTGGCCCAGCCCCAGGGGACCTGCCCAGCCCCAGCCTTGGCCCCTCGAGGAGCCCCTTGCCGTGTGCATCATCGGGCATCATGGGGTGCTTCAGCCATGACGCTATGGCTGTGTGGGATGAGGCAGGTGACCCAGCCAGCACTGCCATGGCCCTCCCCAGGTGCCCAGCTGGTGGAGCAGGGGGCACAGGCCCCCAGCGCTGATTGTGGTGCTCTCGGCTGTGTACTCAGACAGCTCATCACAGTGCTGTTTGCTCGGTGCACCCAGGGGATGGTGCTGCCCAGACGGTGTCCAGCGCGGGGGCTGCAGAACTCAAGGGTCATGCGGTTCCTCGCCCTCAGGCAGGGGCTGTAGGCATGGGGGCAGAGCCCCATGCAAAAGGTTTGAGATGAGAAGCTCCTGTCTGCAATCCACCCCTGGATGGATGCTGGAGCTGAGCCATACTGAGGCTCCCTGGGGACAAAGATCTTCGTGTGGGGTCCTGGGGCAGTGCTGGGTGGTGGAGCTGGGGTGCAGCTCAGTGGGGAAGGGCTTGCACCCAGGCTGGAACCCCATGGAGCTGGTGTGCAGCCATGTGGGGAGCAGCCCCAGTGTCCACCCTGGCCACACACAACACTGGAGATGATGTCCTCACGCATTTAATGTTATAGAGGGGCAGCTCCAGTGTTTGGGGGATTGCAGCAGGCGGGATGAAGGGGCAGGGATGAGCTGGGTGT